AAAGCAGTAGCAAATATTAAAAAAAACCAAAAAAAAAAAACCTTCCCCCTGCAAGGTAAAGGCATAATGCATTAGAATGCATACTGGCACATTATGAAAGACTTACCTTGAAACAAAGCCCTCCAGTGGGGCGCTGTCACCGCTGCAGAGGTTTTCATCTGTTCCCGGTCTTCCTTACCGGCTTCACAGGCTGCATCTGCCTGAATGGGCGAGCCACAATGATGTCACTCCCACACAGGGCTGCTGTTAGAAACCACAGGGTCCCATACAGACAACCTGGCAGGCCCCTCCCCCACAAAAAAAAACAAAAACAGTTTACTAGGCTTCAGTTATGAACACTGAGAGATTGGTACTGATCACTCATTGTGTTTATTCAGGAATGGAAGGGGATGGTAAATGTGATATTTACCAGACCTTTCCCTCACTATCCATCCTGAACGATCCTATTGTGTGATTGCAGCTGCCAGTGGGAAGGAAAAGAGGGAAGCTGGCAGCACTGCGGGAGTGGGGGCACACAGGTGGGGCCTTGGAAGCAGGGGGAAAAACATATGGCTTACAGAAAGGGTGATGAGTGCAGCTGGGGGCAATTACTGTAACCGATCTCCTGTATGGTTCTCTCTACAGCAGCTGAAAGCCAGTGGGAGGCAGAAGAAGGCAGCTTTCAGCTGCTGCAGAGAAAGCCATAACAGGGGATCGGTTCTGGTAATTGCCCCCAGCCGCACTCATCACCCTCCCTGTGAGCCATGTTTCCCCCTGCTTCCAAGGCCCACCTGTGTGCCCCCACCCCACTCCGCCGTGCTGATCACCCTCCCTGCCCACATTAAATTCGCCCAGCTGCCTTGGCCCCCGTTGGCCTGGGCCCCATACAGGACGATGGTGGTACCCCCTTATCCACTGCCCTTCTCCCACGCATGCTACAGCACAGAGCTCCTAAGGAATGGCATGGGTATACTGTTCCTTCAGAGCGCATATGCTGGAGATGTCACCGGTTGCCAACCAAGCAAATATATCCTAAACTGTGCACGCTTAGGAGATATTCATTTAACCTACAGATAAGTTTTATTATAAGCTTACCTGTAGGCAAAAATCAACTTCAGGAGTTTATTAGCACTTAAAAAATTCAGCCTGTTCCACTTAAAATCGACCTATAAACTATATTTTTGAATCACCGCATGCACAGTTCTCTAAAAACACTGTCAGATGTCTCGTAAATATGGTGCAGAATGTCATAGCAGAAAAGAAACAAGGAAACCTAAATGTACGCATACTAACACAGGCTGAGGGGTACAATAAGTTTAATTACAAAAAAATCACTCCTGTGAACATAAATTGTACACTTTACAATGGCAGAAATACTAGAATAGAAGTCGTATCACGAATTCGGCATTTACTGCTTTTAGCACACAAAGTATATCAATCATGAGAGCAGAGCTAGAGCCAAAACTTGTTTCAGTTTTGGGTAAAGTAGGAAGAACTCCCTGTCAGACTTCACTCTGTCCATGTTCTCATGCACTCCTTTGTTTCGTCTTTGGAACAAAAAGTTGTCAATAGCCAAGAGATTTAGAAGAATAATGGGCAAATGTAAAAACGGTATATATGATGCAGTCCATCATAAGCACTAACACAGCAGTTTTTGTTTTTCGAAGTCCCTCCTGTAACTGTTTTATTACTTTTTGATCCTGGTAGTAGATCCGTCATTTTTCCACACCCTTAAGCTGGGTGACAACGCTGTTTGTTCTGCAGTGGAATCGCACAGCGATGTAGTCACCCTGTGGATAGAGTGGTCCTGGACATACAAGGCATTTTAAATTATAACAGCAAAAAAAAAAAAAAAAAAAAAAAAAAAAAAGCTAGTTGAGGATATTGGGTAAGAAGCACCCAAAAAACTTAATCTGACTACACCCGGGCATATATATATATATATATATATATATATATATATATATATATATATATATATATATATATATATATATACACACACTGTAGTACGTCTGGTCTTTCTGCCACTTTCCCCATTGCACTTGCAGGCATTTCACAAGTCTCAAATCAAAAGCCAAAAGTTCTGAGCAGTTACAGCAACCCTAGAAGCCTCTACCATCAAAAAACGAAATAAGACAGTGTTTATAAACACTGTTCAAAGAAAGAGTGACAAGCAACATTGTTGACACTTTTGTATCTACTCTGTTTCATTCATCTGCAGATCAATGGGATACGCTTCAATCTACCTACAGTCTGATGTCAGATAAAGCAACTTGATTTTTTTTTTTTTTAAATAAAATTTTTCTCTTCCTACCCCTTGGTTCATGCTAATCAGCCCCCCCTAATTAACGTCTATAACGGAAAAGACCCAGACTGCGCTTCCCCCTTCCAAACACCAACAGACACCACAGCCAACCATACAAGACTAGACGACACCAGTCTTGAAGTAAACCAGGAGGTAGACTACTTTATTTGAACACAGATACAAATATATACACTCAGTGGACAATCCCCCCTCCCTGCATATTGACATAGGGCGGGGCAATCTACATTTTTTAACAAGAGACACACAGGTATTCAAACTTCACACCAGCAGACAGTCCCATCAGGAGGGAGGGCTGCTGGAGACAACCCCCCACTAAGCTAATACACAAACACATACATCCCATAATAGTTTGCTCCCAATCCAGAAAGACAATAGAACAATGGAATGCAGCCACACAACATTAAATAATCAACAACCCCCACCCCACCTATCTCCTAAACATGTCTACACAGTCTGAGACAAAGCCCACACAATATTAGGACAGATCGCCCTGCACCCCTAACAGGCACAGGCTGATTTATACATAAGAGGGATATGGGGAGCTGAGACAGGGGTCTCCCCACCTCTCCAAAGTGAGCTGGGTTCCATGGGCCCTCCACCCAAAGTGACTCCCATCACAACGTCTTCACTCATTCTCCATTTAAAGAGGATTATGGTTAACCCTTTTTTTGGCCATACGTCTCTTTGGTGTTACATATGTACAGTTACTATTGTACTCCTGTGCCCCAGAGTCAGCTGATGGTGGGCTATTGCCGTCTATCAGCTGACAGAGCAGAGCCATACTCAGGAAGGATCCTGACAATAGTGTTGGGATCCACCTCACTTGCATGACTGACCGCTGGCTCCATCTTCAGCGTGCATCTGAGAGCTGGAGACAGCTGTACTGATCCCCTTCTCTGGTCTGGAGGAGCAAAGTGGATAGCTTTGACAGGCACTGTTCTGGGTTCCAAGCAAACTTGACTTCACTGACAACAGTGGTTTTTGCAGGCCAGTGATTCAGAAAGCACCGGGGTCAGATACAGCCAGGTAATTAGTATCTTTAGTAGGTGGACATTAGCATTATTTTTTTTAATATTTGGAAACAGACAATATGGAATCTAAAATTACTGAATTCCCAAAGATGCTACTGCCTGGCTGTTTTGATGATCAAAAGGCTTCAAATACTTTGAGTAGTTGGGATGGATGTAGTTTAGGAGGGATACAGGACCTAATTTGCTGAATGCTTGTTGCAGGACAGTGACTCAAAATACTGAGACCAGAGACTGACTGGTTCTTCTAGCTCCCTGGACTTAAGACATTTGAGGCTCAAAAGTGCTCAAGTGTAAAATTCCCACCACTGTCCTGCATCCAGGGAGCCACATGCAGCCGGCCATACAAGTGAACGGCTGAATGTAGTGATGACTTAATTAAGGCTCAGCTGCAACATTTCAATGCAGAAATCTACCGTCAAACACCATCTTCATGTCTTAACATATACTAGCCTGGTGGGAATTTGGTCAGAATATTACCACCCTAAGGACTTCTGCAAGCTGGAGAAAACCAATCTAACAGATTCAGGGCCAGTTTATACTGTATGCGTTGCAGTTGCTTTTTTTCTGCATCCAAAACGCACAGAAAGTAGGTTATATGGTTGTCAATGTCATAGTTCACATCAGTGCTTGCAGTTCCAGTGCGTTCCGGTTGCAGAAAAAAAAAAATAGAACAGGCTGCATTTTTCCTGCACAGAACTGCACTGGAACGCAGTAAAATGCATCAAAAACACACTGGAACGCAGCAAAAACACAATGGAATACACATGTTCCTATCTAAATTGAAGGAAGGAAAAAAAAAAAGAGGGGAAAAAAACGAACCGGAAAGCATCAAAAAAGTACAGGAACATGACCAAAAACACGTAAAAAACGCACATGCAGAAACGCATCCGGAATGTATCTGGACTGCGTTTCTAGTTTGAACTGGCTGTCAAAGGAAATATTTTCTGCTGACTCTGGGGACAACCAGGGATTCCATAATTTTAGAGGAATTTCCTCACACTTCCTGTTGTGGCTAAGGGACAAAAACATGAAGTGAAATCTCCCCAATAGTACACAAATGAAAAAAAAAAAACCCAAAAAACTGACATGGGTTATAACCCTCTTTTATTCAAAATATGGTGGGGGGGGGGGGTTTTGCCTCCAGTTCTACTTTAAGGCTAGGTTCACACCTATGCAGTTTGCGTTTGATCCGTTTCTGCAGTGCATTTTTGCCACTTTATATATGCAGATTTATAACACATAAAAAAAAAGCAGCAAAAACGCACTCCATGCTTTTCTGCAGCATTTCCATTGAAGTCTATAAAACCAAAAACGCAAAACTCTTTGCATATAAAAAGTCCCTGACCCTTTCCAAAAAACGCAGCGGGTGAAACGCAGAGCTGTGAATGTGTCCCATTGGAAATCATGTTAAATGGACTGTAGTGCGTTTCTAGAAAACGCAGCGGAAAATGCTTAGGTGTGAACCTAGGGTAAGGCTGGACAGCTTTTAGCAGCAAAGTAAAAAAAAGTCCCTTTTTTATTGTCAATGGATAACTATATTTCCTAGCTATGAGAACGGTTAGACTGACTCCTAAATATTGAATTACATTTTGGCCCTGAGGCCTGTTTTCTGAACGTGGTCCCTTCAGTGCATATGACCTTCACAGCTGTCCTGTACTCACCAGCAGAGATGTTGATGATTTCTTTCACAATGGCGTTCTGAGCCTCTTCATACTCCTCTCTGTACCTCATGTATTCCTCGTTATATGAACTCAACTTACTGCAAGAAACAAGAACAAACTCCATTACTGCCACACACTCTGCTACAGTATATACAGTACCTTGAAAAAGTATTCATACCCCTTGAAATGTTCCACATTTTGTCATGTTACAACCAAAAGCGTAAATGTATTTTATTGGGATTTGATGTGATAGACCAACACAAAGTGGCACATAATTGTGAAGTGGAAGGAAAAGGAGAAATGGTTTTCAACTTTTATAAATAAATCTGTGAAAAGTGTGGCGGCATTTGTATTCAGCCCCCCGGAGTCAATACTTTCTAGATCCACCTTTCACTGCAATTCCAGCTGCAAGTCTTTTTGGGGATGTCTCTACCAGCTTTGCACATCTAGAGAGGGACATTTTTGCCCATTCTTCTTTGCAAAATAGTTCCAGCTCTGTCAGATTGGATGGAGAGATTCTGTGAACAGTAATTTTCAAGTCTTGCCACAGATTCCATTGTAGCTCTGGCTGGATGTTTCGGGTTGTTGTCCTGCTGGAAGGTGAACCTCCGTCCCAGTCTCAAGTCTTTTGCAGACTCTAGCAGGTTTTCTTTTAAGATTGCCCTGTATTTGGCTCCATCCATCTTCCCATAAACTCTGACCAGCTTCCCTGTCCCTGCTAAAGAAAAGCATCCCAACATGATGCTGCCACCACCATGCTTCACGGTGGGGATGGTGCGTTCAGGGTGATGTTAGTGTTAGTTTTCCCCCCACACATAGCGTTTTGCTTTTAGGCCAAAAAGTTCCAATTTGGTCTTATCTGACCAGAGCACCTTCTCCCACATGGCTTCTCACAAACTGCAAACAAGACTTCTTATGACTTTTTCAACAATGGCTTTCTTCTTGCCATTCTTCCATAAAGGCCAGATTTGTGGAGTGCGCAACGAATATTTGTCCTGTGGACAGATTCTCTCACCTGAGCTGTGGATCTCTGCAGCTTCTCCAGCGTTTCCATGGGCTTCTTCTCTGATTAATGCTCTCCTTGCCTGGGCCTGTCAGTTTAGGTGGACAGCCATGTCTTGGTAGGTTTGCAGTTGTGCCATACTCTTTCTATTTTTGGATGATGGATTGAACAGTGCTCCGTGAGATGTTCAAAGCTTGTGATTTTTTTTTTTTTTAATAACCCAACCCCTTTTTAAACTTATCCACAACTTCATCCCTGACCTGTTTGGTGTGTTCCTTGGTCTCCATGATGCAGTTTGTTCACTAATGACTAACAAACCTCTGAGGGCTTCACAGAACAGCTGTATTTACACTGAGATTAAATTATACACAGGTTGACTATTTCCTAATTAGGTGGCTTCTGAAGGCAATTTGTTCCAATAGATTTTAGTTAGGGGTATCAGAGTAAAGGAAACTGAATACAAATGAACGCCACACTTTTCAGATATTTATTTGCAAAAAAGTTTTGAAAACCATTCTTAATTTTCCTTCCACTTCACAATTATGTGCCACTTTGTGTTGGTCTATCACATAAAATCCCAATAAAATACATTTACGTTTTTTGGTTGTAACATGACAAAATGTGGAAAATTTCAAGCGACATGAATACTTTTTCAAGGCACGGTTTAAAATATCAAAAACTGAAAGTTAGTTAAAAAAAAGGACAGTTTATAAGGGGATTCAGAAGATAACCGAGACCATGTAGAAGCACTACGAATACCACCCCAGTAGCAGTTCATTACTCTTCGAATACAAGTACACATTAATGCCCCAAGACTGATCGGTGCTGGATTGGCAGTGTACACATGCACAAACAGTAGCGCAGACCCAAATGTTACCCCACAATGCAATTAAGCGAGCATATACCAAATTTTTTCAGTTGAATACTGTTAAGCCGCCTGGCAGAGTCTCTAGCAGCCCACCGCACGGACGCTCCCAGGGCGCGGGGTCTAAGTCCCAGCCTGCTGTTCACCAGGGCCCCTGATGGTGGGGATGGACTTGGTGCAGACTGAAACCAGGTCGCGACCCCCGAGTGCGTCCTGCGGTGGTAGAGAATACTGACAGGGGAGTGCAGGAACGGAATCTACTTGGAAGAGGCAGACAGATACACAGGTCTGACCCAAACCGGATGGATGGATACGGTATGCGTGGTCAGACAGGCCGGTCGGTATTATGCGGGCAGCGAGGTACAGAGGAGCGAGCTAAGAATGGTCAGGTCACAAGCCAGGTTCAGCAGGATGCGGGCAAATACAGTACCAGGGATCAGACGGAAGAGTAGTCAGGCAAGCCAGGGGTCAAACAGGAGAGAGCAGAATCAGGAACAAGCAGAGGTCGGCAACGGAGTATACAGCAACACAGGAACAGGATACAGGACACAGGATACAAGACCAAACGGCAACTAACATACCTGTTCCTGCGTTTAAATAGCCCGCCTCCCGCTGTCATTGGTGCCAGGCGCGCGTCCGTGATCCCGAGTGCGCATGCGCGAACCCCGCCGCTGCCATGCGCGGCCAGGTCCTACCGCCCGCCGGGTAGAGAGAGTGGGTGTTCTGCGCATGCGCCGCCCGACGCGATGCCGCAGAACACCCGGATCCTGACATTGCCCCCCCCCCCCTACGGGCAGCCGCCGGATGCCCAACAGTTCTCTCTTGCGTGGGTGGTTGTCAAAAAAATCCCGAATCAATCTAGAGGCATGAATGTTCTGGGAGGGTTCCCATGAGTTCTCCTCTGGACCATACCCTTTCCACTTAATGAGAAACTGAGTCTGACCCCCCCTCTTCCTACAGTCTAGAATAGTCTCAATTTCGAATTCCTCCTCCCCATCAACGTTTATGGCGTCAGGAGGCCTAGATCTCCGGTTCGGGAATGGGTCCGGTGCCGCGGGTTTCAACAGCGATACATGAAATACCGGGTGTATTCTAAAGGATTCCGGGAGTACGAGCTCGTACGCCACTTCGTTAACCTTCCTCTTTACCTGGAATGGGCCCATAAATCTCGGTCCCAATTTCCGCGATGGACATATCATCTTAAGGTTTGTCGTGGCCAACCAGACCTTGTCCCCTGGGTGTAACATAAGCTCCCCTCTTCTCCTTTTGTCAAAGGCTTTCTTACTGCCCCTCCTGGGCCTTCAGGATCGCTTCTTGTAAGACCTTATTGTTTGCAGAAAGGAAGTGCAACATGTCCTGTGTAGCTGGCACCGAACTTTCAGGAATTGTGTCAGGTAAAAAGGTCGGGTGGAAGCCGTAGTTAGCAAAAAATGGGGATTGCTGAGTAGTCGAGTGGCTAGCATTGTTGTAAGCAAATTCGGCCAGTGGTAAAAGAGTTAGCCAATCGTCCTGGAGAAATGATGTGTAACATCGGAGATATTGTTCCAAGGTCTGGTTTGTACGTTCGGTCTGCCCATTGGTCTGTGGGTAATATGCCGAGGAGAGAGATAACTTGATTTCCAAGGTCTCGCATAGTGCTTTCCAAAAATTTGGAGGTGGTGAACTGGGCACCCCTATCCGAAACTATATCCTTAGGAATTCCATGGAGTCTCACCACCTCTCTCACAAAGATTTGCGCCGTCTCCGCAGCGGATGGTGTGTCTTTGAGAGGCAAGAAGTGGGCCATCTTGGATAGGCGGTCCACAATCACGAAAATGGTGGTATGGTCTTGAGATGGAGGAAGTTCCACAATGAAATCCATCGAAATCATTTCCCACGGTCTGTTAGGTATGGGTAAGGGTCGCAGGAGCCCCCAAGCCTTGTTCCTGGAAGGCTAATTCCTTTGACAGACCGCGCAGGTCTTTACGTAAGCCTCGCAATCTTTGGACATGCTGGGCCACCAGAACATACGTTGCAGAAGTTCCAACGTCTTCCGGGTCCCCGAAGTGCCCAGCCAGGGGATGGTCATGGCAATGGCCCAAGACCGTGGTGCGAGATTCGTCAGGTACCAAGATTCGTTCTCCTTTCCACCATAATCCATCTCTATTCTGTAGTGGCACCCCTGGAACATTTGGAGCCCCTATGGACGCTGCCTGTAGTTGGGAACGTAGCTCAGTCTGTAATGCCAAAAAATTACCGGACGACAGGATGGTGTCAGGTTTGTGGGCCTCCTTTGGGTCTTCGAACATCCGCGAAAGAGCATCTGGTTTCGTGTTCTTTGATCCAGGCCTATAAGTGATATGAAACACAAACCGAGAGAAAAAAAGTGCCCACCTAGCCTGTCTTGGTCTCAAGCGCTTCGCCGTTCTTAAATATTCAAGGTTCTTGTGATCCGTAAAAATCAATATCGGGTGCACGGCTCCTTCCAGCAAGTACCTCCACTCCTCCAACGCTGCCTTGATGGCCAGGAGTTCTCGGTCCCCTATGTCATAGTTTTTTTCTCGGCCGAAGATAGTTTCCTGGAGAAAAATGCCACGGGATGCATCAGTTCCTTGATGCCCTTCCTTTGGGAAAGCACAGCCCCAACCGCGTTTTCGGAAGCATCCACCTCCAAGATGTAGGGTAATGAAGAATCAGGATGGCTCAGTACTGGGGCCTCGGTGAATAACCTCTTTAGGGACTCAAAGGCTTCCTGCGCCTCAGATGTCCACTTGAAACGCACTCCCTGCTTGGTAAGTTGCGTGATGGGGGATACTAGGCCTGAAAAGTTCCTAATGAATTTCCGGTAAAAATTAGCAAAGCCAATGAACCGCTGAACCCCTTTTTTATCTAACGGCACCGGCCATTCCAGAACTGCGGAGATCTTCTGTGGATCCATCGCTATTCCAGTAGTAGAAATAATTAAGCCTAAGAAGGGGATACTGTGCTGCTCAAAACTGCATTTATCTGCCTTTGCGTATAACCCATGCAAGCGGAGCCTTTCCAGCACTACCCTGACGTGACCCCTATGCTCCTCCAGAGATGCAGAAAAAATTAAGATATCATCAAGATAGATGACCACAAAAATATCCAAGAAGTCCCTGAACACATCGTTAATGAAGTGCTGGAAGGTGGCGGGGGCATTACACAGACCGAAGGGCATTACCAGGTACTCGAAGTGCCCGAACCTAGTACGGAAGGCAGTCTTCCAC